AGAAGAAAAAAGCACAAAAACTCTTGTACTTTTTGAGAAACTTGGACTACATACAACATAATTTTCATAAAAAGTGGAGCTCTGCATGTAAAGACAACCAAAGTTTGTGCTTTGAAGACAAAAATTGACAGGAATCCTTGAAATTAAAAGGAGAAGAGGGAATGAGAGGAGAAAGATGCAGAAACATTTAAAGGAACCCCAAATCTTTGATGAAGGTTCATTTTTCAAATTGAAACAAACAAAAAGCTTGAACCACTACTTACAAATGTAGCCCCAAGCCCTGCAGAGCCTGAGATAAGTTTGCAGTCTGCAGGAGCAAATATATCCAGTTTGGTAGAAATTGAGCAGGGCCTGCAGTGTACAGACCTAAATTTATTCGTTTTTTTGCAGAATGAATTGCACAAACACATTAGCCTAATCCTGTAATAACAGTTGCTTTAGTAGCAACTGCATCAACATTTGATATGGCTACAAAAAATAAATTCTATTGCATTGCAAATACTGCAAGTTGGCTGAATTAGGGTGGTTCTTTTTTAAAGGAAAATATTAATCAGGCTTATTTGGAGCATACCACTGAAAAAGAATGAGTTTTTAAAATCTAAAATATACACACACAGATAATCGATTGCAAAAGGAAATCGAAAAAGCACTATGGAGTTACTGAAATGGAAATGCAGTGACTCAAAAGACTGATAGTCCCTCAGGCCAGTTCTTGCAAAAAATCAAGCAGTGATACTAAACAATAATAAAGCTGTAAAAAACAAAAAACAAAATAGGTTTTCATGAAACAAATATTAACAGCAGACAAATTCTTGTAGAACGGCTCTTTAGAGATAGTGTTAGCTCACGCCCTTAATCCAATAGACAACTACTTTAATTATGAAATTTCTCCTTTCTTATTAGGCCAATTAGAACAAAGAGATTGTGATTACCTTCATTTACCATCTATTCAATAGCCTAGAATTAATAAGATCAGTGATCCATTTATCCTGAGGTCTCTTCTGCACAGCTGCCTTAAGCTGCTTGTCTCCTGTGCTGAATCTGACTGGAAATGAAACTAAAGAAATTGCTGTCCGGATTTCAGCCCATTCTTTCCTCACAGTTGGCAATTATCCTGGCCAAATGTTCTTTCCAGAGGATGGTTACCACAGCTTCTGATTGGTGGGTTCCCCATCTTCTTTATTCTGCCCACCCCTGCCAAGAAATCAAGTACCAATTGCTTCCCTTTCAATTAGTGGGTCCTTGAAGATATGTGGTTTCCATTGATAGATCTTTAATATGAGCCCCCCTCAGTTGAATCTCCCTTATACTTGAATCATAGAAATGTGGAGCTGGAAGGTTCCACGAGGATTATCCAGTCTAACTTTGTACAGCATGCAAGAAAACTATTTAAACCATCTTTGAGAGGAGACTATCTACCCTCTTCTTAAAAGCCTCCAAAGATGGAGGACCCACAAATGCAGTAGGCAGATTGTTCCACTGTTGTGTAGATTTTACTGTCAATTAGTTTTTCCTTATATTTAAATGAAATTTCATCTTGGTATCTGCAGCTTATACTCATTATTTTTGGTCCTGGCATATGTGGACATGGGAAAGAGTTACTGAGCATATTTTATGTGTTTTCCTTTTCTGTACCTGAACAGATACCATGGTTCCTTTCAGTCTTCTTTCCTCCAGACTGAACATTTTAAGTTCTTTCAGCTTGGCCTCATAGGGCATGACCTCAAAGCACTGTCATTTTTGTTGCCTTTTTCTGAACCTATTCACACATTTTTGATTCAGTGCTGTTTCTAAATGGTGTTAGCCCTTCTAGCAGGTATCTCATGCTGCTGGCTCATGTTCAGCTTATTCTCAATGGCCAAGGCCTTCTCCAATATAGTTCTTCCAAGCCATAAATTCCCCATCTTGTATGTGTGCCCTATATTTTTCCTCTCTAATATCTTACATTTTCCCTGTTGAATGATATCTTTTTTTTTTCCAGCCTTTTCAGCCAGCCTTCCAACCTGTCCAGCTTGGACTGCAATCCTATTCTGTCTTCCTGGGTGTTGGCCAGATCTCCCAATTTTGTGTCATCCACAAATTTGAGAAGCAGCCCATCCTGTTATCCAACTCATTAAAAAAAGTTGGATAATACTGCCCCTGTGAGACTCTATCTGCTTACTGCTCTCCAATTCAAGATAGAGCTACTAGTGCTGTATGTCTGAATGCTAAGGGCCAGCCAGTTGTGGACCTTCCTTACTATTGTGCCATCAAAACCAAATTTTAACAGCTTGAAAGTGAACATGTCATGTGGGAACTTTATCAAAAACTTTGCTAAAATCAAAGTTAGACTGGAAGAAGATTTTTTTACCTTTTTATCTGAAAACTATGTGTGCTGTGCTTAAAAACAATGATGTCATAGATGTGGGAGAGTCCCGTTATCCTTGGAGAGCAATCTGTTTGAAACTCGTATTTCAAATGCTTTGCAAGGGCTCCTTTAAAAACCCCAAACACGTAAAATCCACCACGTAACAATCTGAGATGTGTAGAATTTTCCACCCTGTTTTGTAGGAGGTCTCAGTGGCAGGAACGAAGAAGGAAAATTGTTGTTAGTGTTGGCGCTACGTGCCTGAATTAGGGAGGAGAGCTGTGTCGCAAGCAGAAAGCTTCCCAGGCTGATCCCCTTTCCCATATTAATTGAAACCATCCTTCCCTCCCTCCCCCTGCCGGAGGCCTCTGCAGTGCAGCCCTCCCTTCCCCAATTGTGGGGAACTTGGCGCTTCGGCCGGATTTCTCCCTCCTTCTCGCGGGCGGGGCGGAGGAAGACGACAGGCGGGTTCGGGAGGGGGCCAAGTCCGCCGATGGGGGAGTGCGGGGTGCCCGCTGGTGTCCAGTTGCTGCTTCGCGCCTGCGATCAGGGAGACTGCGAGTGCGCCCGACGATTACTAGTAGGACCTTCGCCAACCGCGGGGGCCGGTGAAGAAGCGGCCGCGGAGGCTGGCAGCGGCTCGTCTAGCGGAGGTGGGATTGGGGCTGCGGCGGACATTCCTCCCGGCTCGGTGCCAGTGGACTGCACAGACGAGGCGGGCAACACCGGCCTGCAGTTCGCAGCGGCCGGGGGACACGAAGAGCTGGTGGGCTTCCTGCTGCGGCGGGGGGCCTCGGTGCAGAGCCGGAACCACTGCGGCTGGAGCCCGCTCATGCAAGCAGCCAGGTTAGCGCGGCGGGAGGAAGGAAGGGGGGTGGCCCCAGCTCAGCTCAGCGGTCCGGGCTGGGCTGGGCTGGGCTGGCTGTGGGGCTCGAGCGCGCTGCCTACAGCTCAAGCTGGGGATAAAAGAGCGGGTGGAACAGCTGATGGGGACGCCCCACAAGCCGCTCTTTCCCCCGCCGAGCGGGAATCTTGGCTGAAACCACTCTCCTTTGCCTTTTCAGCTGGGTTCTCCTAGTCTTTGGTTTCCCCTGACTTGTTTGCGCCTTTTGTACAGTTTTTATTCCACTGTTACATGTTCTGTTTTTTTTTTAATTGCTTGTGTTTTCTTTGTATGGTAAAAAACTGAGATGAAACGTAGCATACAAATGCAACAACGCAGTGATGCAACGACATTGTAAACAAACTTGTATATCTAAATATCATCAGTATCTAAAGTGACTGCTAGAAGTCAATTTAACGTTGCTTTGTTGAGCAGATGGAAGATTTTAAATTTTAAGTGTATTGCCTAAAAATAGTGTATGAGCAACGTAAATCCATGTCTGAATTGGAACACCACTGAAGATCTATTGCAGCATGCAGTATATTTGTGTATTATATTAGTTTCTTATAAAGCATTCGAGAGAGGCATTTAAATCTCAGGTTCAGTGGCATGGAGAGGATTCAGGATCCTTATGTAGTTTGCACTTTGCCCTGAGATCATTTCTTTCCAGCCATTTTCTCTCCCACTAGTCTGAGAGTAGACAAAAGCAGCAAATGAGAAGCAATTGTGGAGAGGAATTGGAGACTGAAGAAGGATTCAAGACACTTCCCACCTTTGCATGCTGTGCCTTAATGAAACTCCCTGGGTACTAAGTGTTTTGAATAAAAACGTAGAAACTATGCTGCTAAATCATCTGGTTTGACACTGAAAGCCAAAACAACTGCAGCTTTGTTGGGTATGGTTTCAGTTTCAGATCTGATCATGCAGGCACATTATATGTGGAATGATCCTGAGATAGTGAAGAAAGCACAATAAAATTTTGAAAATATAATAAAATATGAAATGTAACAAGCTAGATTTATCGCTCACTGTTAAAAGAAAAACAGTACTTAATTATCATTTTTTCATTCCATATACAGTGGTAGTTTCACACAGCAGAAGTAAAATATTCACAGGCCAAGTTGCTTTTTTACCACAGGCGTGAGCCCTTTGTGCAGGGTTTAGGATCATTTATGGTAACATGAGAAAGAGCAAATTGCTTTTACGATGCCGGCCTTGAGTTTGTCCAGTTTCTCCATCCTTACCACTTATCAGGATAAATGCCCAAAGACATCCTTCTATCAGAAAGGTCTGATGCTTCCTCTGCTTTTCAAACCTTGGAACACTTCCAAAGCTTATTTTATTTGGAATTGAAGTTGACCTTTGCTTAAAGAGCTGTGTCTGCTGTCATCACAAATGTTGCTGTTATTATGTATGCAGTTATACAAGGCTATTATTCCCATATTTTTGCAATACACTGTATGAGCTTTAAGTAACACAGAAAACTTTCTCTAAGATATTCAAATGGAATACCACACACGGTATGCTGAAACTGAGACAAACATGATGTTGAACTTGGCCTCAGTATTTCTAGTTAGATTGAGAACCAAACTAGGGGGGTCCCTGCACACAAATATTCAATCATTGAACTATTATAGTCTTCTACATCATTAAGACAGAATCCTTTTAAATCTAAATAATGGACATTTATTTTCTATATTGTACTTTTTTTTTTCTTTTTCCCCAACCAAAGGTTTGGACATCTAAATGTGGCTCGCATCTTGCTGGAAAATGGAGCTGACCTTAATGCACAGAATAAATTGGGAGCCAATGTACTCACCATAGCATCACGGGGTGGCCATATCAGTGTGGTTAAGCTGTTGCTGGAATCTGGTGCTTATATTGACAATTATGACCACTTGAATGTTAGCTTGGACAGCAGTAAAGAAGAAATGCCAGCTGTCACTCCCCTCATGACTGCTGTCCAACACGGACATGAGGCAGTAGTCCATCTTCTACTGGACTGGGGAGCTAATTGTAATTACTCAGTGAAGACCATGGGCTGGACTCCCCTGATGTTGGCGGCTGTTAGCGGAAGAGTTAGTTTAGCCCAACAGCTTATGAACAAAGGAGCCAATCCTGATCATCTGAATATTCTGCATAAAACACCATATGAAGTGTCTGTTGATTTCAAACATGAAGATATGATGGATTATCTGGCACCTTTGACAACAGTTAGGCCTCAGACAGGTATGAGCTGTTTTCACTTTATCTTGGGATTGGGTATCAAATTTTCTTAGCAAACTGATAGATGGATAGTGAGCTGAGCCAAGTCCAGTGAGGCCTAAGCTACATAATACATAAAATACTTACTATGTCGCTGTTCTTTTTTTTTTTTTTACTTCAGTGTAAATGCACAGTCCAGATTTTTCTGTTTAGAAAAATTCCCCTTTATCATGTCAGATAAAAAAAATCAATGATGTCATAGTGTGCTTATACCCAGAATAACATAAAACTTGTAGTGTGGGTGCATGATACATATTTTATGTATTGTCTGATTTTATGCCTTGCACTAAATTGTAAATTATGATTTAAAATCCAAAGTGACTGGGTGATGCCAAAAACAATCAAGCCGTATTGTAATTTCATACTGTAAAACCTAGTTTGCTAAGTTAGGATTTTTAAAAAACTTTTAATTATTGAATTCATGCATCACAGTACAGTAAGCCAGAAACAAAAAAAGACACATAATGGCTTAACATATGTGAGGCTAGGACATGTGCAGCTTAATTCTAAAGTGACTGCTCTGGATATAAGAAGGCCTTCTGGCTTAAACAGAAAAGCTACTCAGTTCATATGTTTGCTGAGCTGTTCAGTAAATCGCATATAGGTAGTCCTTGCATAGTGACCACAGTTGGGACTGGCAACTCAGTCACTAAGTGCTGCAGTGCCTAAGCGGAAAATCACATGACCGTGATGGGCTTACTACCTTACTTCCCCTTCAGTCATTAAGTGAAGCGACACAGTCGCTAAACAAAAAGTTATGTGAATGCAACTTACTATTTTACTTCTGCCTTCTGTATTAATTCTACTTGTCGCAAGCTGGTTGCGGAGCACACAAATGGTGATCACATGACTCTGGGACGCTACAACAGTCATAAATGTGAGGATTGGTTGCACAAGGTTTTTTTAGCAGCATTGTAACTTCAAATGGTTGCTGCACAAGGCAGTCAGTGAGTGAGGACTACCTGTAGTAGGGGTTGTGTTTTGCACTGTGCCTCCTTTCTCCAAAACGAACTGCATTATGGCTTAGCACAATACATCAGTCCATGCTGAGATGTGATGACCTTAGCATAGGGATAGGCATACATTTGGGGGCACTGACCACATTAGAACTTTGAGAGCATATCATGGGCTTCTCACAAAATGGCCACTATGGGATAGTTTGCTTGTTTACAGAATGGCTGCCATTACAGCTGTTTATACAAAGGCAAACTGGAGATGTTGCCCTTTTCTACTCTCATAACTTCCTCTCATTTTACTCACTATTACCCTTTTCACCCTCGTCTTTTTTCTGGGCAAATGAGCATACTGTACTTTCAAAGAGTACTGGCTTGTGTTTTCCTATCCATTGCATTTTCTAAGATACTTACTAAGACCAGAGATAATGCCCTTTGCTTTGCACTATATGAGTTTTATATTTACTATTATTTTGAATAATTAAATAATCTAAATAATAATAAAATTAGGTGCAATAAAAACACATTGGGTACCAGAGGAGATATCTATTGGAACATAGGTATCCCTAAACGCTACACTGACTAATTCATAGTTCATAGCTTATGGGGTTAATGCTATTTTGAATCCAACCATAGCGGCTTATTCAGCAAACAGTGGGTAAAACAAAGTATGGTTTAGTGCAGGAACGGGCAGCCTACAGACCATGAATGACCTTCAGTCACCATTTTGTACACCCCAGAAGATCTGCATATTTCATGAACTATGGCAACACATTTACCTACAGTATGTTCAGTGGTTCAGTTTGCTTTTGTTCTGTCACTAAAAAGTTGTACAATAGGTTTTACAGTGACTTAATTAACTTAATACAATGTTTTGCACTTTAAAATTATTGCTAATTTCCCAGAAATGAAGCAACATATATAAAATTTCTTGGTCCCTGAGGAAGTTTCTTTAAAAATACTTTTAATTGAATACAAAGTGAAAAGAAAGAAAAATAAACAATAGACAACATTATAAAGAAAAGAGTAAACTAAAACATAATGAAAACATACAGGCATGTATTCATGGATATATACATATATGTAAAAGAGTACTACATAGGCATTTCTATTAATGATAACCATATTTCATTATAAGCATCCATAGATAATCTATATCAGTAAGTGATCTGTTTGTAAGTTAATAGCATCAACTCTGCAGACCATGTAATACTTAGGACCATATGCTTATCTTTCCAATGCTGAAGAATAAGTCTTTTCATTGTAAGTAGGGCACAGAGAATCCACCTTTTTGGTTTAGATGAATATGAATATAGTTAAAAAATATGAACATCTGAAAATATTAAATCTTATCCCAAAATTGAATTAATATATGTAATAACTTCCTCCCAAAATATAACAGTTAAATGATACTGTACAAACATATGTTTAAATGAAATATTAATCTCATTGAATTTCCAACAACATCACAATCTACTCAAGCCTTTTCTCTATAAATGCAATGGAGTTAATGAAGTCTAAATATTATTTTTTGTTCAGTAAGACACAATCCAGGATCTGTTGAAGTTGTTGATATCCCATTGCCTATGCAAAATAGGAATCTATAATTCTTTATTCCATTCAAACATTGAAGTTTGCAGATTGTATCAATTCATCACCAATAGAAAATCATAAAGATTAATTACAGAGTTTTTTATATCATAAGATTTAATAACCACTTGTGGATTATGTGTTTCTGAGGCTGAAAATGCCACAGGTGCAGACTGGGATGTCAGTTGGTTTAATTGTAAATACTGGCTTTGAGTTATACTAGGCAAATATTATTTGTCCTTTAAAGCAGAAAAAGGTAACCATTCATCAGTTTCATCTATTAACAGAACCAAAGTATAAATCTCAGCTTCCATCCAAATTTTCTGTATAATGCTGTTCCTTAGAAATAATGTACTGCAAACTTTATGCAAGAGTAAGAAGAACCATTTGAAATCTATTGTATTTTAATCTCTAACAAACTAAAGATGTAATCTATGAATATTTTAGAGGAGCCCAAGGAGAAAAATGTCCATTAAGGGGAATTGTCCAAAATTTTATAGCCAATTTCCTGCACCAATCATGTTGCTTCCTCCAAGAGAATAGCCTGATGGGAGATGTAGAAATAATTCTAAAAAAAATATTCATTGATGAGAAACAAAGTCTTTTTTCAACTTAGCCTCTTAAATAGAATCCTTTCTGTGTAATTTTTAATGTTGTTAATTTATAGGTACTGCTGCAAACATAGCAGAAATATTTGAGATCAACCAAAATATAATTAAAGGTGTAATTAAAGGTGTAATTTCTGTCAGTGAAAGAGACAGAAAAAGAGAAGAAGCATAATATCCTAGTCAATCAGTTAGTCAGTCCTTTATTATGGTCAATGATCAGAGTTCCACTTAAAGAAGAAAGAAATTAAAATATTTAAAATAAAAGAAGTTTAAAAATAAATAACTATGATTGGTAAGTGTGGATTTTACAAACAGGAAGATAAAACTTGGCTGCATTAAAAAAAAAAGCAAATTATATTGGTCAGCTAACAGCAACTGGTATGTAAAATAAATCCAAATAATTGAACATTTAGTTAATAGGGGGATATAAAACATAGCTGTGCATTTTTATAAAATGGGCGGCACAACAATACATGGATCATATTTTCAACTGCCCCTTTGCCACAAGGATAGCATCTTAATGAATAAGGGATTATCCTAAACTTTCCTTTCAAGGATGTCTTTTGGAAATATGTTAAAATTTGCTTGAGTAAGTGATCTTGTAAATTTAAGGATGGATATTTATTTTATATAGCTTGCTGATCTAAAGAAGGGAGCCTGGGGAGGGCCAACAAATCTAATTGTTTTCTACATCCATTTTAAGCTTTGACACTGCCTGCTTGTAACCTATGGTTAGTAATACTTCCCATGAAAAGCCATAACTCTGCAACTTCCAATAAAATAGTTTTCTCCAACTCAGTTCAGAGTTATCAACCAGGTCCTAAGCCCACAGAAAAAAACATAGTATACTAGACCTGTGAGCTTCCTGGCTATTCCCCACTATTGGAAAATAGAACATTGTACCTTCTTTCCTACAGTATCCTGCTCTCAGATGCAATAGAAGGCTCGGTCTCATTGCATACATTAAAATTAAATTCATTTGTCATTCCTCTGGACTTCTGTATGTGCAAAAAAAAATGCCTTCATTTTAGGCAACATATAGGCAGCTTAATGTCTCACACTGGCCATGCTGTCTTCAAATAAAATAAAAGCATATATCATATATAATGTTCGTTAATAATTAAACTGATGTATTAATTCCTATTTACCTGACAAGATTTTTACATAATGTACAATCAGTTAGACAGGTTAGACAGTCCTGACACTAGGATATACTGTATGCAGCTCACAAATTCTGATTTTGCAATCTCCAATATCCCTTCCAATCACAATTGCTGAAAGTTAGCAGTAAGATGTTCTGCCTTGGCAGGAAAAGCAGAGGTTTGCTCTGTTCAAACATGGATTCTCTCTGGTTCATCTAGCCCTTGGTATCTGTATATCCAAAGTACCCTTCTAACACAATATTTTTTTGGAGGTCTCCCTTACCAATACTAGCCAGGCCTAACATTACTTAGCTGTCAAGTGCTAAGACTTCCATGACAACAGTAAGTGGAAATTTAATGGAAATTGAAAAGAGGAGAGATGTTGTTCAATAACAGAACATACACAAAAGTTCCAGATTCAATCCTTTGTATTTCCAGTTAGGCTAGAGAAGATTGAAATTCTGGACTGCCAGTTATAATAAATCAATAGTCTGCCTTTGCTTCCTGTGTTCTAAACACCTAATGGGTAGGGTGGATTCCTACATGGAAAGGCAAAATCACATCCTACCCTCTTCTCCTTCAAGGGAGTCTTGAAGACTTGGTTCTTCCCCCAGGCCATGGGCTAGGGTGATTGGAGGGCTCATTTGGGAAGGTGTGTGTTTGAGGCTGGTTGGGTATTGTTCCTTTCACGTGAACCATTTTGTGTTTCTTGGTTAATTCTTTTCATGCTTGATTTTTGTCGTTTGCTCACCAGAGTTGTTTGGAGTCAGATGGCCTGATAAATGTGACTTCTAAATGAATACAATATTATCTCACACAGCTGTAGAAATAAGTCTTAAAAATTAATGGGAAAGTATTCTTGATTTTGTTTTTTAGGTTTCTGAATATTTTTAATGTTGCATTCTAAGAGATAGTATCTCAGGGTTCTTTCAGCTCAAAGGAAGTATACTACTTTCCTTTCACACTGCCAACAACCACAGTGCTAAGAGACCAAGAGGGAAAGAAAATTACTCTGGTATCTTCAGCAGTCCTCAGGAATAAGCATCCTTATATGATACTATCCAAATGTTTTCACTGCTTCTGTATTTTGCAGTTGAGAAATTGAAATGCAAATTTTCAAGTAAATCAGTTTATTTAAAATACTGGTACTATTGTATTTTCTGTAGTGTTACTACAACTAACAGCTATGTGATATATATATGTCTTCTCTCACACCAGATAAGCAGAAGAGACAACCTGATATCTTCCATGCTTTAAAAATGGGTAAGAGCTTTACAGTTTTAATACATGTGGTTTTTAATACATCTGTGATCTGGTTCTACAGTTGTTTTAGAAGTATACTAGTGATTTGCAACCAAAGATTTCAAATCTTTATATATGAACTTTGGATACTGAGTTTTGGTAGCTCCTTGTTATGTATAATTCTTCTTTCTGTCCTTCTGTTCCATTAGTTTCTTTTCTTTCTCTGTCTTCTTGTAGCCTTCTGCTTTTTCCTCATTCATATAGACTATTCCATTTCTCTGTGCAATCCATCTCTCTTTTTCTTTGGCTCTTACCTCTGACTTTTTTAGACCCCTGTAACTTCTGCCCTCTTTCCTAGGCTGCTCTGACTGCCTGTAGGATCTGAACAGGGCTATCAATGCCAGCAAGAGGACCTTAGGCTCAGAGTAGTCCATACTGCCAGCATTCACAGTCCTTATCAAAATTCAGGGTTGATTCTTTCACAAGCCCTCTTCTATTCAAACAGTAAGTTCTCAAATTGTGTGGCACCCACCTATATAAAGATTAATAATAGCAATAGAAAATCAATTAATAGCAAATAATAGAACTAGAACTAACATCATATCTCTTTTTGAATGCTTCAAGTCAGTGTTATTTTCTCCATAGGAAATTTTCAGCTGGTGAAAGAGATTATTGATGAAGACCCAGCACAATCCAATATTGTTAATGATGATGGTGCTTCTCCCCTGATGATTGCAGCTGTAACTGGACAGTTGCCCCTTATACAGCTGCTTGTTTCAAGAAATGTAGAGATTGACAAACAAGATAATGTCCATGGCTGGACAGCATTAATGCAAGCCACATATCATGGGTAAAGACATTTATTTTGCTAGTGTGATTTAAGAGAGGCTTTCTTTTTTCCTTAAAATTACTGTTGCTTTTTGACTGCCTCCCTGCAGATCTCCTGGGATGAAACTATAATCCCTGTATGACCACCACCACCCCCAATATCATAAACACTTAGGGTTAGTTTGGTTAATACATTGTACTAAGCCATGATGGTGGCTTATTCATCATTC